GAAGTATCAAACCCTTTAGTAAACAAATGTGACCCTGCCCCCGTATCAACCAGAATATCCCTTGAAACCCTGGGCCTCCTGAGGCAGCGTCACTGCCGCCACGTAGTCGCGCTCCTCGGCCAAGGTGGGGCTTGCAAGCATGGGCTCGGGCTCTTCCTCAGCGGGGCTTGCCGCATGAGGCTTGCGGGGCTTACCGCCGTTTCCCTTAGAACCCTTCTTCTTATCATCAGCTTGCTTCTTCCTACACTCGGCCTTTGTGTGGCCTTTCTTTTCACAGTACCAACACACAACCTCCTTGCCTTTACCTTGGCCTTGACCCCCGCCTTGGGAACCTTGGGGCTTTTGGGAATCACCTTGCTTACCGCCCTTTCCCTTGCCCTTGTTCCCTTTTTCCTTCCCAGCGTTGTCCTTGCCCCTGCTTCCACTTTGGAAGGGCCGACATGTCCATCGGCACCGGCTGCTCGGCCAGCACTCGGCTCGTTCGAGCCACCTCTAAGAGCTCGTCCTTGAGCAGCTGGTATGTCTTGAGCCTCGCTGAGTTCCTCACCACGTGCTGCTTGAGGGACTCGTCTTGGAGGCCATTGATAATGATCCCCAGCTTGATTGTGTCATCAAGCTGCTTGCCGGTCTCGGCCTCGTACCTTCGCACGAGCTTCTCGAAGAAGGGGATCTCGGCCTCGAGGCTGGCCGTGAACTTGTGGCTCATAAGCTGGGTGAGTGTCCCCACGAAGCGGCTTGCCAACCGGGGCCGGTACTCACTCACCAGCTTCCTGTAAACCTCCAGGGCGTTGCCCAGGTCTGTGTTCTGGGCTATGTCCAGCGCCCCGCCCTGGAGGAGCATTACCAAGGTATAAAAGAGCTGCGTCGACAGCTCCGCCTCCCCTGGGCTGAGGCTGGCCTGGAGGACCGGCACATCGGAGCACCGGATGCGCTCAAAGAGCGCCTGGAAGCACATATAGGCCTCCAGCACAAACGACCAATCCTCAAAGGCCGCCGGCTCTCCAGAGAATTTCTCTGGCTTGCCCAGTTGGCGGGTGTCCACCAGGCCCCTATGGGCCTCCGCCGTGGATCGAAGTCCGGCTCCGAGCCCTTCCTCCTGACTGGCTTCCTTCTCTGGGGCCTCCTTGGCGGTCAGGGCTTCTTCGACTCTTTTGCGCAGCTCTGGCCCCGAGAAGCGCTTCAGCACACGGCGCCTCACTAAGGGCCGGTACTTCGTGACCCTCTCGTCACAGGAGGAACACGCCTCGTCCACTCCTGCTTTCCGCCGAAGGGACTCGGCGATGCAGCAGCTCCTTAAGCTCCCCCGACCTCTTCCTGGCCCTTTGGACCGGTCGGCCTACCGACCGAAGTCGGATAGGAGCTGGTTCCCTTAAAACCGATTTGAGGGTCACCCTTGGAGCGTGGGATCTCCTCCTGCGCCTTTTGCGCTCCTTCTTCCACTTGATCCTCTCTGGCTGGGCCGCAGCTTTGGCCTCAACCAGCCTTATCGGCCTCTTCCGGGCCTCCGCCTTGGCCTTAGCCTTTGCCTCGGCCTGGGTGTATGTCAACACCACTCGCCGCGGGGCCGCTGCCGATGACGAGCCCTGGCCCCTGGGCTCGTCGGCTTCCGAGTCTCCGCTCGCTTCGGCCTCCTCCCTATCAAGGGCGGAGGCCAGGCGCTTAGCCTGTCCACGCTGTTCGCGGCGGGCGGTCGCTTCAGCCGACCTGGTCCCCGCTTGTTTTTCTTCTTCTTCTCTGGAGGCTTGCCCTTCTTAGAGCCCTTGCCTCCCTTGCCACCCGCCGTGGTGGCAACAGGGAGCGGTGCTAACCGCTTCCCTGAAGGAGGGCGGGACAACCCGCACCCCCTAGCGCCTGCGGGGCTGGCCCGCGAAGCGCTGCACCCGCGGGGCTGGCCCGCTGGGTGCCCACCGCGGTTCGACCCGCTGGTGGTGAACCCAAGGCCTTCTAGACCAAGGGCTCCGCTACCATGCAAGGGTTTCGGATAACCCTTAAACCACACAGAACACTACCCAAGCTAACTTTTATGCCTCGCTTGAGCAACCGAAGGGGCTGCAGCATCCGCGTCTCACCTGGGGCAAGAATAGGCTTTACATCCTAACAGGATCCTACCAAACGCTGGGTGAATGGTACTTACACGATATGCAGCACCGCTAACCCTTGAACCTCTGCGCTGAAAGCCAAGCACCTAAATCCGAAGACCCGGATACGCGGATTGCTCGAGCCCGCGGTGGAGGTACAGCCACTTCCAGCGCACATGATGCGCTTACGCTCAGTAGTTCTGAATGGAAGGTCGTTTGTCATCGCGACTGCGACTTTCCTGCGGTTCAACGACCCCACCTCTACAATCCATCGCCACTTGCCGCTTGTTTCGCGACAAATTCTACTTGTTTTGCATACGGCACTTTGCCGGCCTTTCTGCAGGACTGTGGCAACGGCAACAGAACATGGAACGAACACAGACTTAAAATTTTTGCAAACCTTAGCGTGTTGCAGCATTTTCACTACAACCTAACAGTGCAGGATATGGTTTATGCACTCGCCCACTCGCCTGCGCTGACTCTGCTCGGTAGGCACGATCCTGCATGCAGCTCTGGCGCAAGTTTAAAGTTTGCACCGCCAGGGTTACTGTTTTGCCATCTGCATGGCTTTGTAGTGGAGGGAGTAGAGGGTCGGAACTCCGCCGAAGTCTCTAGACGGCATTCTACAGGAAGGCTTCTCGAACGTTGTCCGTTCTGTTCGCAGCTCTCAAATTCAAGGGCCACGTTGAAGCCTACAGCACGTGATCATCTCAGAAACCTGGGTAGGTCGACTCTTTCAACATATATTCAATCGTTTCATAGCAGGAACCTTCACCCGATCTCGTAACTCTGAAAAACAAACAGAAAGCCAGATCTGCAAGAGGCCACACTGTGCCGAAAACTCCGAGTACAGAGTGCTGTTTCCGGTTTCAGGATGATCGGGATCTACGGCTTGTGGTTTCAAGTTCAGCACAAGGTGTGACGTCTAGGGTTTCAGCCTCTGCAGCGAGTTTATGCTGACATAATGTCTGGGGTATTCCATTTGTTTGGAACTCAGGTTTAATGAAGTCCTACCTCAAGTTCACAACTGGTGAAACTCTTCAGGTTCAGGATGGCAAGCTCCGGTTGCTGTTGCTGAAGCTCAGCGTTTCATGTGCTTGAGTTGGGATAGTTTGGCGGCTCGGTTATGCCAATGCGACTGGCTTTCTACTTGCAGGTTGCTAGGTTTCAAGATTCTCGCATGTACGCACGAGCCTCCAAGCGAACCACAAAACCTCAATTGTCACTCAGAAGCAACCAATGGACTCCTTTCAGCCCTTCGAGGAAGGGTGCAGCAACACAAGCCGTCAATTCAACCTACCCTTTTCACCGAGTCTGCTTCAGCCTGCGCCGGCGGCGCCTCGGCCTTGGTCAGCAACTATTTTCGCAATTCAGAAACGCCTCCTCGAACTCCTTGCTGTGTTCTCGGAATCCCACTGCTCTAAGGAGCTGAAGCATTTGGCGCAATTCGATGTTGTTCAAATTGCTTGTGCCGTGCGTATTCATCATCTTCCCGCCGCAGTCCCGGGCGTGTCCGCCTCAACAAATGTTGCTTTCGTCACAGTCGTGCATCTTCTTGGCTGCGGCTCGTCGTGTTTGCGCTCGAAAGATCGTTTTGCCGCCAGAGTCCCGGGGCGTTTTCCCGCCGCAGTGAGATGCGTGTTCGGGAGCTGCAGAGCTCCTGGAGTAGCTCTTAGCCAGGTGCTCTTTCGGGGGACATAGGTGACAGTGAACCAAGATTGCTACTTGAGCCATTTGTTGTGAGTGATGCGCACAAGCAGACCTTGTTTGCCTAAGCACCTGCCGATACTATCCCTCCCTGTCTGAGACAGCTGCTCGCTGGATCGCTGGTGGAGGTGCTTTTGTTGGCCGACGGTCGTCCTTCTTGCAGGGAACTGCTGGCCCGATCATTGCAGCAGGATACTAAAAGAACCATCGCATCCGAAAGACTGCAGCCTCAAGCCTCAATAGTAAGGCACTGAATGGTGGGCGCTTGTACGATTTGGGAGACTGTCCTGTGTTCTTGTGGTTTAGACTTTGGAAGTGCTCTGTGGGAGTCTGGATTTAGAGGGCCAAGCAAAGGAGTTGTGATGCCAGAGCGCGCAACTTGTTCAACAAGGAGTCAGTCTCAAACCGAAAATGCATTGGCATTATCTTCGAGTTCTAGACAGAGCCCTGGACTCCCCAAGCCTAAACAACCGGAAGACTCAAACTCAAGATCTGGCGGGTGATCTCGGTTGTGACCTAACGAGTAAGGCGTGTAATGCCTGTGAAAAGAACGACTTCGGCAGGGCCTTGGTCTGGTGAATCCAACGTGTACCCGCAGCCCCTACCCCTGAACCTCAAGCACGAAAATCCACAAAATCGAAGCCTCCGACAGAGCTGCACATTGCCTCCTCGGCTGAAGGCTCGGGGATCTTCTGGTCTTCTCTCGATGTTCTGTCGAGCCGGTTGACAGGCTTCGGGTATCACGAACTAGTGTGCGACTTCTTGGAACAGCTTGACTGAAGAACATTTGTCCGAGACATTCGTTCCATCCCGTGCTGGTAGAAGTTATCAATACCTTCTTTCGGGCTTGACAACCGGCCTGCAGGCACCCAACTTTCAAACCTGAACTCGCAAGTCGCAGCACCAGCTCCAAAGCCAAATAAACCAGACAACACACAGGATGCAGCGGGCGCTGCAGTACCTTGTCCGTCGAAACACTCACAGGTCAAAGCCTAGAGCAAGCTACTCGAGGAACCAGCCACATGGGCAGCCGAGAGGCGTTGGAGGTGCCTTTTGCCGAAAGGCCACAGGCGGCGACTCGCCCTTCACGGGTTTTGAGTTTACAAATCGGGGCCTGCTGGGGGTTGAGGCGGTATGGGTTTGCTGTTTACGTTTTGTCGTTTCTGGGTGTTGCGGGGTACGGACTAGACTTACTTCTTTCGGGCTTGCCGCTGCAGGGTTGGAGGTTTAGAGCTCGAAGAGGCTCCGCAAACTTGAGCTTTAGTCGCAAGCTTCAAGCACTTCCAGCGGGAGCTGTGGGGTGAGGAGGCGGCTAGGCTGTGCGCTGCACTGCTACAGCCAAACTCCTAGGTAGGTTCCTTTGAATTACCAGTTAAGTCCTGAAGCTAAGTTGGTGCGGTGCATGGGGTCGTATCGAGGTTAAGATTTGGTTTGTGTTGGGTCCGAAAGTTGGGGTTGTTGGCATAGGAGCGTTGGCCAGTTCAGATCTCTCAAACTTAATCAGGAATCATGGATTCCGGCGGACAGCATCGTGAACACAACGGGCAAGTTTTTTTGGGAAACCTTGGAAGACGTCGATTATCACCACAAATGTGCTGGGGTACAGCTACTATTCCGAGCCGCATCGCTGAAGCCCAAAACCCTTGCGAAAGCCGGAACAACTAAAAAGATCTAAATTCAGGTCAAACGTGTGCACAAACAGAATACCTGAGGGGGCATCTTGCGTGCTGGCGGCACGGCTTCCTCCGGCAATGGAGCAGTGGTTTATGTCTTAGGGTTTCCCTGGAGTCTTTGATGGGCGCATAAGGGCTCCCCAGCCGTGGGAAGTTCAAGCGACTTGCGTGGGATTGCCTTCATGTCTGGGCATCGAATTTGCACGGTTCTTCGTGGTGTCTTATAGCGGCTTGAGGGTCCAATGTTTTCCAGGGTCGTGGGAGATTGATGACAGGCTCAAGATTGAATGCTCTGTTTACTAGTCCAGAAACCCATCCAGGCATTCGCACGTGCACCCAGAAAGCCCATTCAAACCATCATGCTTCACCATGTCCGATCGACCCAAGGCTCCAAAGCACGAAGGTACAGCAGGCGTCTTCATGACGAACTCGATTTGAACTCACTTGTCACTCAACTTTGTTCATCCAGAACTCAGCCGATGTAGCTTATGGCAATGGCCCTAGACTCTATGACTCTAACGCAACATGCGCCCAACCATGCCAAATCAGGCTTGCAGAACAAAGGCAGGGGGCCTGTGGGGAAGTCACCGGCATTGGGGGCATCTTCTGCTTTGGCGGCGTGGCTTCCTCCGGCAATGGTGAAGTGGTTTTTGTCTAGTTTGCCTGGAGTTCTTGATGGGCATCGAGAGAACTTCATGCTGTGGAAAATTCAGGCGACAGTCCACAAGTCGCATCCAGGCATTCGCAGGTGCACCCAGAAAGCCCATTCAAACCATCATGCTGCACCATGCCCGATCGACCCAAGGCTCCAAAGCACGAAGGTACAGCAGGCGTCTTCATGACAAACTCGATTTGAACTTACTTGTCACTCAACTTTGTTCTTCCAGAACTCAGCCGATGTGGCTTATGGCAATGGCCCTAGACTCTATGACTCTAACGCAACATGCGCCCAAACATGCCAAATCACGCTTGCAGAACAAAGGCAGGGGGCCTGTGGGGAAGTCACCGGCATTGGGGGCATCTTCTGCTTTGGCGGCGTGGCTTCCTCCGGCAATGGAGAAAATTCAACACTCGCGGTTTGGATCCTGCCTGCACGCTGAACCAAGGCCTGTAGGACGGACTCTTTGCATGGGAAGTTCATTCAGGCGCTGGACAGTTCAATCGAATTGGCAATGACTGCAAGCGCTGGCTGGGCATCGGCTTTGCCTTAGGCTTTACATTCCAGCACCAGCATAGACCCACCAAGTCGCGTAGTCACATAACGCAAACAAGGTTTCGACGAGTCTTGCCGGGCTTCATGGATGTATCTGCAACTAAGTCTAAGGGTGACCGACAAACCTAAATCGTGACCATCACCCGGCAGACCCACAGTTGTTTCTTAGGAGGTTGAAGATAGCATAGGCCACAACGCAAAACTTCGCGGCTTCGCTGCATGCTGAATCCTGGAGCTTCTCAAGGGCTATCAGCTGTGGGAGATTCGCAGAAATCTTGGCTTCGAGTCTTACAGGAACTGATCGCTCAGGCAGATTTGGCTGGTTTAATCCACCAAACGATTGTCGCCTGGTCAGGATTCAAGGAGCTCCATAGTCTCACGATTTCTAGCATGACTTACGAACGATCGGATCCACGTCCACAAGCGAAAGGTGGAACGGTGGCTGTGAAGAGGATCGTGAATCTATTCTGCACCCTGTCGCAAGTGTGATTAAACCCGTGCCCATGTTCACACCCGATCCACACGGAAATTCTGGTTGTCTCTCTAAGACGAAAAACTTGTAAGCCCATGGCCATGCCTGTGAAGACACTGGCGGCTTCTTGGGAGGTGGCACCGACGGCGGAGGTGGCT